GTCAAATCATGATAAGTTGGGACCCGTCTATACTTAGAGAAATATAGAATGTAGCCTTTCATATTTCACTCAGTATTATCTGGGGTTGGGGATCCAACCGGCACAGTATATGCAGTCTTTTCATACCTTGATAGCTCATTTCTTTTTACTGCTGAATAACATTCCCTTATCTGGATGTATCACAGTTAACTTATTTACCTCTTGAAGGATATCTTCAAAGTTTTGAAAATTATGAAGAGAGTGCTGTGAATATTCATGTGCAATTTTTTGTGTAGATACAATTTTTCTGTTCCTTTGAGTAAAATGCTTAGGTATAAATAGCTACATACTGTGTTAAGAGTATATTTAGTTTTTATAGGAAACTGCTAAATTATTTTCCAGAATGGCTGTACCATTTTGTATCACCCCAGCAAAGAACACAAGTTCCTGTTGCTCCAACCATGTTTATTATAGTGTTGTCAAGAGTTCTGAACTTTAGCCATTCCCATCAGTAAATAATAGTATCTATCATTGTTTTACTTTGCATTTCCCTGATGATATCTGGTTAGGAGCAACTTTTCATATGATTATTTTCCTCCTGTGTATCTTCTTTGTTCAGGTGTCTATAAAGATCTTTCACCCATTTTTTTTTTGAGTTATTTGATTATTTAAGCATAGAGAACTGGGGTACAGGCCACATGTGCAGGGGTGACAAGAGGATTCACCAAAGACAGAGTGGGGAGCAGAACAGGCAGATTGACGAAGTACACTGTTGAGGGGAGCAGCAGGTGGACAGGAGAGGTCTGCTGTGCCATGTGGGTCACCTCTGGGGTTGGGGATCCAACCCGCACTAAAGTGGCTATGGCTAGCTTGCAGTGCTTAACCCACTGCACCACCAGGGAGGACCCTCACCCATTTTTTAATTGTTTCTTCTTATTGTTAAGTTTCAAGAGTTCTTATATTTTAAATAACAGTCCTTTATCAAATATGCTTTTGCAAAGATTTTATCACATTTTTTGATATTTCTTTTCATTCTTTTCACAGTGTCTATTACAGAGCAAAAAATTTTAATTTTAATGAATTCCAGTTTAGCAGTTCTTTCCTGGAGTAGGTCTTTGTCATTGTACCTAAAACGTTACTACCAAACCCAAGATCATCTAGATTTTCTCCTATGCTGTCTTCTAGAATTTTACATATTTGTGCCTTATATTCAGATCTATAATACATTTTGAGTTAATTTTGGGGAAGTGTATAAGGTCTAGATTCACATTTTTTAGGTATGAAGTGTCCAGTTGTTCTAGCACTCTTTCTTGGAAAAATTGTGGTTGCTTCATTGTGTTGCCTTTACTTCTTCATCAAACAACAGTTGACTATATTTATGTGAATATTTCAGAGCTTTGTATTCTGTCTGTCTTTGTAGTCTCTTCTTTCACCAATACCACATTATCTCAATTCCTATAGCTTTAAAGTATGTCTTGGAGTTCTGGAGTATCAGTCCTGTGATTTGCTCTTATCCTTTAGTATTGCGTCCGCTATCTGGGTTGGTTCTTCTATAATTCCCTTGTTTCTGATACTAACTCCTATCTATTCACTCTTAAGATAGTTTTTGTGTAATTATTTGCATTTATTTCATTTTTGAACATATTTTAAAAAACTGCCTTCAAGCCATTGTCTGATATGTTCAACATTTCTACCATTCTGTTAACTGCTTTTTCTTTCTTGATTATGAGTCATATATTCCTACTTCTTTACATAGCTAATAATTTGTCCTTTGTGTGCTGGACATTATAAATGATCCACGATGGGGAATCTGGATTTTGTTGTTTTGCTATGAAGAATGTTTAATTTCATTCTCGCAGGCAGTGAGTTAATGGCTGTGCAACTTGTACCTCTGTGTAGAGTTGGCAGTCTGCTGTGTCAAGAGCAGATTTGTGGAAAACCAAGGTCATTTCAAGCTCCCCTAGTGTTCTAAACACTGCCTCCCCTTTGGATTTCCCAGAGTTTAGTCTCTAAGTTTGTTAGTGTGGGTCTGGAGGAGGCCTATAGGGCCTCCTGTTATACTCAGGTGTAATCCTTATTCCTGAAACCAGGCCATCTGGCATCTCAGCTGGTCTACGGCTGTCGCGTGGTCTTTGCACCAACTGACCTCTGCCACTGTTCATCTCTTGCATCTCTTCCATTCAGCCATTCAGTAGCCACTTTCAGGTAAGTTTGAATAGTGCCCTGAGTATACATAGTCCAGCCCTAACCCAGACCCCAGGGGATATATATGGCCCCCAGCCCCTCTCCTACCCCCCTCCATTCCACTTAGCTACCCACAGATTTTGGATGCTCTAGCTCCACTACTCAGCCTCTCACAGCCACCTCTGTACTCCGTCTGGACTTCATGGCTGGGACATTTCCCTGAGCAGAGAAACATTCAGAACATTTAAGGAGGCTCACCTAGTCAGTCATCCTCCTCCATCTGTTGCCAGAGCCTGCATACAATTGTCTAGTATATTTTGTTCGGTTTGATGGTTGTTTACAGCAATAAGTCTAATAACAGTTATTCCATCATTACTTTCCTGTTATACTTGTTTTATGAACAGTAAGGTCTGTTTATCTATTTAGCAGGTATGTGTGGTTCTTCATTATGTTTGTGCCCTTTATCTTTTATACTGTCTGAAAGTTTTTGCCTCTAAATTTCATCTTTCCTGAGACTGGACCTCTGTTTCTCTTGCTCATAGTCTCTTCCAGTGTCTTCCCTCATCATTCTTCTACATTGTATAGATTTGGATTTAATTTGGGAATCCAATCACTCATAAATCCAATCCATAGAGATATATATATGATTCCTTTATGTAGAAATACAATAACAAATATTAGGAAACAAAGGCACCTAATGCTAAGGTGGGTGGTGCAGGAGGGCAGAAAGGGAAATAATGTTTTTGTCCTTTCTCTGGTGGAGTGTCAGAGCTCCCAAATATGAGGTTGACTATTGTGTCTTTGGCCCCAAAACAAAAGATGAGCAAATCAGTGAATTTAGCAACCATCCCATCTCTCTCTCCATCCTCCCATATTTCTGTTAGTTATATAACCAGTTCTATTACCATAATCCCTATATTGTTTTTGATATAATCCTACAGGTAAGTAATGTCATCCTCTTTGCCAGACCATTTACTGGAGTTCTCCAGTTATCTTCTACAAGACTAGAGTTAATCTTCTAGTCCTTCAAGAAGAGCTTATGGGAGCATATTCTTTGAGTTCTTACATGTTCAAAAATGCTTGCCTGTTGTTTTTATACTTGAGCGACAGCTTGTCTATAGCATTCCTGAACTTTGCCTCCTTTCCATTCTCTAGAGACATTACTTTGCTATCTACTCTCACAGAACAGATCTTCAAGCATTCTGAGGAGGCCTTTCTCAAAATGGAACTTGATCCTTTAACCTGAGGATAAAACAACTTTAGTTATTAAGCCCACTAATTTTACAAAGGCACATCTTAACATTGGACTCAGATTATAAAACTTCAGTTGTTAGAAATGAAAATTAATTTTCTAACTCAGTGATCACTGGTGTACCTTTGTCTGTCTTCCATGTTTGCTATTTCCTCTTCAGGCCACTGCAGCCCTGTTTCCCTTTTGTTTTGCACACTATGTACAAATTGCTATCTCTGTCCCTGTCACAAATCTTCTGCTATGTCCGAGTACCTTTATTTCCTTGAGTTTTTTCTGCTGCTTCTTTCCTATGCTCTGCCACTTCATTTTCTTCCTATATTTTACTACCTGTTTTATAGAAGCAATTGTTTTGTGAAGCTTTTTAATTTATGGCAAAAATGTTTGGTAACGATTTCTGTTTGCTTCTGATAAAAGTTGTCTTTTGCTCGTCCTGCCACTTTCCTCCTTTTCCCTTGTATTATCTTCATAGAAATGAGTGATTTCCAATTGAGGCTGTGATGTTCTCACCTAGGAGATGATGTAAGAGAAACAAGGGTGCTGGTGTGGGTGGTAGGGGTGACTTATGGACCTAAAGGTCTAGGGGTGCACAGGCTAGGTCAAACACGAGATTGATGGGAAGAAGAGGCTGTTTGGATTGTCACAATTATGGCAAAGTACCTCTGCCATTTAATGTGTGGAGACAGAGATGCTAGATGCCATGCAATGCACAAGACAATCCTGTGTAGCCCAGAAGAGACGTAGTCACAAAAGCCTCTCATCCCCTGCATGCTAGGGAAGGCATGAGCCAGGAAGGGGTTATCACCCAGCACTGAGTATGGGGGTTCAACCCCAAAGAGCCACCAACTCCCAATAGCTCCATGAGGATAGACAACATCTTTGCATTCTTGGTGACATGCAAGCGCCCTCCCCCATCTCAGAGCCAATCCAGGGACAAAGGTTTTGCCCACAGCCCACGTGGCACGACCTCAGCTGCTGCTGCATCTTCCGCACAGTCCTGCATTCCTGCCACTCACACTCTACTGCCAGTCACCCTTTAACCTCACTTACATTTTAAAGTTTCACTTACTTCTTACTTAGTTTGGCTGAAGTTAGAGTCTGCATTTCTCATACTCCCTGTGTTATGGCATGGAAGCGAGGTTTTGCGATAAGGGAGAAATTCTGACTTCATGTTTCAAGGTGGAAATGTTGCCTTTCTCCTGCGTGCTAAGTGGTGTGTAGTTCTGTGGTGAGAAGACCCAGTCCCATCCCACCCCCATGGAGCTCTTTCTTCACCATCTGAGAGAGAGCGAGCAGGCCCTGGATTCCCTGTAGACCTGTCCAAGGAAGGGGTTGAGGGGGTGTGGAGGACACTCAGAGGCTCTCTGAGGGGTAGGCTGAAGTCTTCAACCCAGAAATTCAGCCAAGGGCAGAAATAAAACCATCTTTTTGCATGTCTTGCCTGACTCCCAGGAGGAGGATGTAAGGTGCACAGGGGTGTCCAGCCCTCATGGCAGCCTGTGTTTCCTTCCTTCTTCTAGCTTCTGGTGGGAGCCTCTGTCACATGTCTAAGAGGCACCTAATGATTCTCTCTGCTGCTCTCTCATAGGTGTGCCGAACTCACAACATTACCAATCCTGGGATTGCTGACATCAAGATCCGGCCAGACCGCAAAATCTTGGCCACTGCAGGCTGGGACCACCGTGTCCGTGTGTTTCAGTGGAAGACGATGAAGCCGCTGGCAGTGCTGGCCCTCCACAGTGCTACTGTCCATTGTGTGGCCTTTGCTGCAAATGGCTTGTTGGCTGCAGGGTCTGGGGATCAGCGCATCAGTGTCTGGTCACTCTATTCTAGCGCGTGACTTGGGAAGCTCAGGGACAGGAGGCAAGCACCTGCCCCTCTGCCTGACCTGGAAGGTGGGAACCCTGTCTGCAGACCCCTGAGGACAGCATGCCACGGGGTCTCCTTCTTCAGTATATGAAGAGCCTACTCTATGGAATCCTTGATTTCTTGTGAGGCTGTGTTTCCTTATGTGAAACACTGTACTTATAAGACAGTGTCTGTAGTTTTCAAAGAGTAACTGAGCCAGACACCTGGTATCTGTGACCCAGGTAAGAGGCCCACCTGGAGGTGCCTTACAATAAATTTCTGCTTGCAAACTCATGGCGCAAGGCAGGAATTCACTGAGGAGACTCCCTTGGTTCCATTCCTCCCTAGGGGCAGAACCGAAATCCTTTGTCACATCTGCCCCAGGGCCCACCATGGCCACATGATTTCAATCCAAAGCCAGAGAAGAACTCCTGGTACACAGGGCTGAGACCAGGACCAGGACTAAGAGGTGAGCAGGCTCCTCAGGGAAGGGAGCAGGAAGTGTGCAGTGCAGTGCAATGCAGCATAGCAGCGTTAGCTCTGGGTAGGAGAACCTGGTTGCTGGGGTGAGGTCAAATGCAGAATCAGCAAGATCAGGCAGAGACCAAACAGACTGAAGCTGACAAGAGGCTATGTCCAGGGCAACTTCTGTGCAGAACGCACAGCAGTAAGGAGAAAGTGAGATCGGCATGACCATCTTGGATTCCAGGGCACAGCAGAAGCCCTCACCTCACACAGGATGCCTAGAGATTGGCAGCTGTGGCCAGCACAGCACCGAGTCTTTTGTGGGTGGCCAAACCCAGCTGGCAAGTCACCTAAAGCTGAAAATTGGTTTTGGGTTGGTAAGCAAACCCCAGTGAAGCTAGGGCTTCAAACCCCTTCATTTTGCTGGCTTCTCTGACAGAAGATCCCCTTCACCCAGCATGAGGAGGTTGGCTGTTTGGATTTACTGCCAAGTGGAATGACCTCTACTTGCAGGACACTCACGAACTTCCCCCACTTTGCTTTGCTTATAACTTGACTCAGGCCCCAGCAAGCCCCAGTGGGTGAGGTACACAGTGCGACCTCTGAAGAGGAGGTGGCTGCACTCCAAAAGAGTTCATGGTTTCCTTGCTCATGCAGACGGCAATCTGGAGAACATGTGTAGGAGCCAGGTGGCAGGAATGAGATGGAGCAGGCCGAATCTCTGAAACAGGCTTCTAAGCAGAGGGTCTGGACTCGATTTTGCAGTTCGAAGGGTTAGAATAGGCTGCAGGATTGGGTTGGTTGGGTTGAAACACAGATCCAAAAGGTGGGTAGTCAAGGGAGGTTGAAATGCTGGAGTTTCTGGGGTGCCTTAGGAAAGATGGGTCCGAGAACATGGCCATTCCCTACAACTGAGGAATAGATTGTGAGGGAGCCCCATGTCCTTGAAGAGCTCTTCTCCAAGAAGTGGGAAACCACAGCTGCAGAGCTGGGATCTCTGACGTCATGGGATCACTGGGTCTCTGGGTGGCAGGGCTCAGTGACACTTCACTGCCGCAGACAGGTGGGCACGCACAGGGTAGTCATGGAATGGTCACTGTCTGAGTCACAGAGATGAGGACTGGTTATTCCGAGTCCTAGAAGTAGAGCTGATGGACAGCCTGCAAATGACCATGTCACATGCGTGGAGCTGAGTCCTGCCTGAGCCTGACCTGGTGAAGGGGGCAGGCAGCTGCCCCCCTCATGCTCTGGGACCAGGTGTGCAGGGTCCTGGAAGGGAGGGCATATGCCAGGCTGCTGTAGACGGCAATGTAGGCACAGTGCTCTCCCTGGCACTCCTCATTCCTCTTCACCAGAAAGCCATAAGCATCCTTGTGGTCAGGCCTTTGACATTTCTCGTGGCCCTTTCTGTTCAGAGCATGGCATTTTGCCCTTTACATGGATGCTCACATCAACTTTATTCACAATAGTCCTACACTAGAAACAACCCAAATGTCTCCTCTCAGGTCATCACCTTCCCAAGCAAACTAGTATGTCCCATATGATGGAGTTCTGCCAGTGACCCAGAGGGACCCAGATGGACCCTTCAGAACGCAGGGTGGAAGGCACAGCTATGGGCATTCAGATAAGAAAGACTCTTGCAGGAAGCTCAGCTCGGGCTGTGCAGGGTGTCCACTAGGGATGGGGCTACACGAGGCACTTTTGTGGCAGTGCCCTTGGTGATCTGAGCAGCCTTCAACAGCACAGGCAGAGGACAACAGGAGACATCCTGTTGCCTCCTAGATGTGTAAAGAGTCAAGAGTAAAAGTAGGGCTCAACCAGTCGTCCAGCTTTCACTTCAGGCCTGTAGGCTGCTCTTGGGTACATACATGGAAGGCAGCTGTGATGGTACATTTGCTGACTGGCAGTGGTTGCCATTCCCCATGGTGGGGCCAGACCTAGAATAGGAAAAGGGTGTCCAGACAGTGTGGACCCTGCACCGCCATGTGCCTACCTGAGAAGCATTTCCCACAAGACTTCACCTGAGCCCAGAAGCTCCTCACACACCCAGCCACAACTCTCCATGGTATCTGCATATTGTGAAATCAGCCCCATACTTTTCTCAGTCCAAAATGTCTTTTCTGGCTACATTTACTTTTACATTATCTTTTAACTAAGCAACCATCTTTAGGGCTCACCTAGATGCTGTTCCATTCAGGAGTCATTTTGATCGTAATTGCTAAGGACATGATGTCACTTCCCAGCAGCCCAGCTGGCAGGAGCTTGATCCAGGCCACAGCAAAGGTGCAGGTGGAGAGCAAGTGTATCTGGCAGAGCCCAGAGGTCCTTTGGGTGAGCGAGCATATGGGGGTACACTGGAAAAGCCTCACTGGTCACTTGTCCTTCATGATCTTGTGCCTCCTCCAGACATTTCCAGCCCTTCTAACGTATCAGCTGAGAGATGTGGTTTGTTGTAGCCTCTCTGAGTATGTTCCCCTCAGCATTCTTTTAGATCATGGAAAGGCCACTCACATCCAAAGAAACTTATATTTGGGAATAGCAGTAGATAGTTCTTGTATTAGCCCCAGTTCTGGGTAGTGTATTCTGCAGTTTTGTCCTTATCAGAAGAGCTTCTTTGGTCAGGGATGCAAGCGTGACATGCCTGGATTCTCTGTTTGGGGTCCCATGGGCTGTAGTCAGGGGTCTTTGGGTGCTTCTTCCAAACCTGGTTGTTGGCATAATCCATAACCTTGCACTGCTGGAGAATACCCAGTCTCTCCCCACCCAGCAGGATGGTCCAGGTGTTCTTGACGGTGACTTTTCATGCTGTGTCAGGTCTGCATGTTCCACCAATGAAGTAAGCACTCCACTGCCACCTCCAATACTGGGTGAGGACCAGTTTCATCCACGGGATGACCACCATTGCAGTGGGTTCCACCTCCAGCTGCCTCCTCTGGGAGGTAGGCACTGTGGAGGGACAGCAGGTCCCGCTGTCCTGCCAGCCACTGTGAGTGGCATGTGCACCTGGTGATAGCTAGGTTCAGAGGAACCTGTTGTCAAACCTTCAGCCCTGTGGCTGCCTTGTCAGGTGGGTCCTACAATCATTCCCAGCCAGCAGGCCTCAGCATCACACTGCTGGTGTGGTTCCTCAGATAAGTAAGAACAGACCAGGTGTTGATCATGAGTCACAGCCTCTGATCACTGGGGATTCAGTGCCCTTTGCTACTGAGCTGTGCAGATGGGATAATGTCAGGCAACCATGCGCTCTGAAAATGCATGGACAAGCCTCCACGTCTGGTGCTGGATGATCTCCCAGGAGCTGGCCGCAGCACTCACACACCAGGAGGGCCCAGGAAGGGCACAGCGGTGCAGGGTGCAGAGACCTGGCCACACTCGTTCAGCAGGTGAGCACTGTGCTAACGTGCAGTGCGTGTCTTCACACCCCCGACTGAGTGATGTTCAGTCAGGTGTTTCCCACCTGTGTCTCTGCCAGGAAGCCACAGAACACCTCTGCACAAAAGGACTGTTTGCACAAAGAAAAAACATTCCTTCAGGGGATTCTTTAGAAATGCTTAGTACTCAACAGGCTATAACTTCACAACAAGCCTGGTATTGAAGACACGCTAGAATATAAGGCACCTGAACACAGCTTGTACCTGTACCACAGAGGCCACTGCCCACTCCATCCCTGAGGTCCACCTACCATCTCTTCTGCGCATGCGCACGTGTGTGTGTGTATGCGCGCAATTGTGCTTGTGTGTGTACGTGTTTACAGCTCAGCAGCCCAACCCCATCTGGACTCTGCTCTCCTGGGCAGTAAGCAGCAGCCCTCACGCACCAGCTTCTCCACAAAGCCATCAATATTGCAGGAAAGCAGCACCTGGACCAGGTGCTGAGCAAGACTCAAGGGCCATGCTGTGCCGATGCACCCAGAGCCCCTTAGACAAAAGCCTGCCAAGCAGAAGCTTGTCAGTGCCACAAACGAAGCACCAAGCCCTCCTCCTTAGAGGATCCACATCTGATTGCATGCACTGTAGAAAGCAGTGCATGGCTGTATGCTATGCTAACCCCCAAAATAGGCATTGATGACTTCAAATGAAATACTTTCACTCTTTATCCCTGATAGGACAGATGCAGCACCCAAATTGGACTTTTAAGATCCTTGGAGCACGGTTGGGATAGTGCGCCCTACATATCAGCCTCAGTACCTGGGACTGCAGACCCAAAGAACCAAAGAGATTCACTACCTGGTCCTTCATGGGACCAGCATGCTGGCCCTGTCTTAAACGATACCTGAGTTTTGGGCTCTCCCTGGTGGCACAAGGGTTAAACCACAGCGCAATGTAGCTATTGCAGCCACTGCAGCATGAGTTTGATCCCTGGCCTGGGAGGTGACCCACATAGCATGGCAGACCTCTCCTGACCTGCCTGCTGCTCCCTTCTGCAGTGTATTTCAGTACATCTGTCGTTTCTGCTCCCCACTCTGTCTCTGGTGACTCTTCTCACCCCCTCCCAAACCTCTGGCTTGTACCCCAGTTCTTGTATGCATAAATAAATAAATCTTAAAAAAAAAAAAAACATTTCCATGGCATAGGGCAGATGGGAGGAATCATATTGCAAAGCCAGAGGCCCTGGAGTCTCTGGTGAGGTCAGGAACACCCTCACCCCACCCATGAGCCTGAGAAGCTGACAAGTTGACAATCATCGTCTATTCAAACAGGTTAGACTCTGATGGGTCAAGAATTCTCCCTGATACTCAAAAGAAACTTAACATACAGTGTAGCAGAAAGTGTGGTAGTAAGTAGGTCAAGTGTGTCTGGAGAGCTATGGCCTATATGTCTGTATTCCTCCCAAA